ATTGGTGCCGACCACTCTAGGATGGGTGTCAAATGCTCCCGTAAGCGGAGGCGAGAGGTCTTCTTGGTGGTCAGATGCGGCACTCCAAGACTAGTGTCGAGCACTCTGAAGTGGTGCCAACCACTCTAGGAGTGGTGACAGACCAGTCGAGGAGTAGTGTCGAAACACTGCGGTTTGAGGTGCCAAGCACTCTAGGTGCTGTGTCGACCACTCCGGTTTGAATAGGGGACTCCATCGGCGTCGATCGAGTTTGCCTCACCTCAAGCGACATTACGGGAGTTCGTGGATGCCTTCCACGATGGTGAGGAGAGTCTTGCAGTTCCATAAGTGGGCGACATCGTCGGTGTACCCGAGTCTTCGAGCCTAGCGGTCGGGTGCTCAATGACCCAGCGCTTCTCGGCGGTGTGAGCGAACCACCCACATTCACGGCTGGCGGCGGCCGATGCAAATTGGCGGCAGGCGTCTTTGGAGAGAGATGAAAGCGATCGAGGAAAATGAGACTTGGGAGCTCATCGATCCACCTCTAGGATCTTGTCAATCGGCTGGAGTGGGTGTACAAGGTCAGCGGACCAAACCGCACACCATTATCAAGCACAAGGCGTGCCTCATCGCTTGCAGAGAGCTTTGTCCGTGAGCGAGGCATTGACTTTGAGAAGTCTTTGCCGATGGCGCACATGGAGTCTATCTCACTTGGCTTTGGCTTTAAGCGATTAGCAAAGGGCTAACACGTCCATCACACGGATGTAAATTATTTCCTCAGCGGTGAGCTAATTTGGAGAGCGGTCTTCATTAGGCAACCTCGGGTTTATCCATCAAGGAGTGAAACACTAGGTGCTCCGGCGTACAAAGGTGCTCTCTACAGACTCTGGCGGGCCCCACAGTGTGGGCATGAATTTTGATGCCGGGGCTAAGCGAGCTTGGGTTCACGGTGCGTGGCCAACACGCACTCTACTGCGGCAATAGGGAAGGAGGGCTACGTCGTCGTCGGCGTGTATGTGGACTGACTTGATCGTCACCGGCAGCGCGTCTTGGAGGACATCGACTGACTTCATCTTGCGGCGAGATGGCGGCTTATTTTCGAATGAGCGATCTCGTACGCGCTCTCCTACTACCTCGGCATCGAGGTGAGACAAAGGAAGGGCGCTCACGCTTGAGTTAGAGTCGTCGCCTCAAAGTTGTTGGGCGGGCGGCATGCATTTGTAACAAGCCATGCGTGATTCCGATGGAGGGCGGAAGGCAGCGAAGGCCGATGCAGCGGCGAAGGTAGATGCAACACTCTGTCGGAGCATCGCCGGTGATGCGCTACCTAGTCCACATGAGGCGGGAACATTACGTTCGTCATGGGCTACTTGACCCGCTTCATGGAGGATCCCCAAGAGGATCCTTTGGGCTATGGTGAAGCGGTGATGCGCTTCGTCAAGGGATGGTGGATCGGATGATCGTCTTCCCCAAGACCGGTGGAAGTGAAGGCGCGACTCAACGTGTTCGGCCGATCTCTGCACGGACATGGCGGGGACATCGGCGGACGGCGGAGATCCTCTGGCGTGCTTGTCTTCCTCGGGTGGCTCCAATCTCATGGTTGTCGGCTGAAACAAAAGGTGGTGGCGGCTGTCCGCGTGCGGCGATGCGTGGCGGCGCCCTGTTGGCATGCCAAGGCGTGTGGCTCACGGCAAGGCTGCTGGGTGAAGTGGCCGGTGTAAAGCTCACCCACCGACAGCGATGGTGGACAACCAGCCCGCCGCCGCCCTCACGAAGAAATTCGGTTCTCCATGGCCGAACAAGCACATCAACGTCAAGTTTCACTTCCTCGAGGTATGTGATGGAGGGTAGATCGTCATCGAGTTCATTCGAAACTATTTGGCAACTCACGAGACGTCCTCACCAAGCCACTCGGCCGTCTTGGTTCACGGAGTGAAGAAGGTGATCGGCATGGTGGAGGTTCTAGGTTTATGTGCAGGATTAGAGGAAGAATTGTAAAAATCTGTTGCCCTCCTTATGCATACGGTAAGGGCATCGCTGAAAGGCTCCCTATTTGTTACCTTGTGGCCGTGGCGAGGGTAGGCGTCGAAAAGCTCTCTGCGCACTATAGCCCACACAAGGGTAGGCGTAAAGTTAGTTCTCTTTGTTATATCTAGTCCTTTATGTGACATGGCATGACTGGCATGTATGTATACTAGGATTAGATGGGTAGAGTTGTATATATAGCTTCCCACCTTGCAACTCAGATAAAGAGAGCAAGTTTAGTTTTGCCATATCCTCTGCGAGCTTGATAGCGTTGGTGCTTGTCTTTGTTGAAAGGTCCTAATATGGCTAGAGGGGTGAATAGCCTATTTAAAATCTACAAACCGACTAGAAACAATTTGATTAGTATAACAAATAGCAAAATATAAACTTGCTCTAGCTCTACAAGAGTTGCAAGCCACCTATCCAACAATTCTAGTTGTTATGATCACTAGACACAATTTGCTATGTTACTACTCACTAAGAGCTCTCACACTTGCTACACTAAAGAGCTCCACTAGATGAACTTAAAACAACAAAGCAAGCTCTCAATTCTAATTACACTAAAGAGCTTGCTACAACTAGTTTGCAAGAATAAAAATAAGTGAGTAGGGTGATTATACACGCCGTGTAGAGGTGAACCAATCACAAGATGAATACTAAATCAATCATCGGAGAATACCAAGGGCAAGAGACAACCAATTTTTCTTCCGAGGTTCACATGCTTGCTTGACACGCTAGTCCACGTTGTGTTGACCAACACTTGGTGGTTCGTGACTAAGAGGTGTTGTGAACCTTGTCCACATAATTAGACACACGCAAGAACCTACCCACAAGTGAGGTAACTCAATGACACGAGCAATCCACTAGAGTTACCTTTGGCTCCCTTGGGAAGGCACAAGACCCTCACAATCACCACGATCGGAGCTAGAGACAATCACCAACCTCCAGCTCGGCGATCCTCGCTGCTCCAAGCCGTCTAGGTGGCGGCAAACACCAAGAAAAACAAGTGAATCCGCAACAAAACATGAATACCAAGTGCCTCTAGATGCAAACACTCAAGCAATGCACTTGGATTCTCTCTCAATCTCACAAAGATGTTGAATCAATGATGGAGATGAGTGGGAGGGCTTTGGCTAAGCTAACAAGGTTGCTATGTCAATGTAAATGGCCAAGAGAGTGAGCTAGAGCTAGCCAAGCGGTATTTATAACACCCCCAAACAATAGAGTCATTGGCTCAATTATTGGGCTGATTAGCGATGACCGGACCTTGCAGAGGCGTGAAACTACCGGACCTTTACGGTGATATTATCTAGACAGCGTCCGATATAAGGCGACAACGTCGTCGTCCGCAGCCCCGACCATCCACGTGTCCCATTTCAAATTAAGTAGCCATTAACGCCCACGAGTCCCATCGACCGGGCCTTTCTGTTATAAACGACGGGCGCTGAGTTAAAAGCGACCGAGCGAGACATAGGCGTCCGGTCGAGTCTGGACAACACCTAGGGCGATCGGACGCGCGTTAGAAAATGACGGACAACGAGCCTCGGCGTCCGGTCGAGTCGATAAACACCAGGGCCCGACGAGACGCTCCCGGCGTCCGATCAAGCTATTTCACTTTGAACGCCGACTTGATTCACACGGGGCGGATAGCGTCGGTGTGGCGACCGGTTTATGTTGGTGCGCTCTGCCAATTCAATACCGAGCCACATACTGGACGTATCCGGTGCGCCATACGGACAGCGTCCGGTCACTCTGTGACCGGTAGCGACTAACTCCTTTTCAACTCTATCTTCTTCACCTTGCTCAAATGTGCCAACCACCAAGTGTATCACCTTGTGCATATGTGTTAGCATATTTTCACAAATATTTTCAAGGGTGTTAGCACTCCACTAGATCCTAAATGCATATGCAATGAGTTAGAGCATCTAGTGGCACTTTGATCTTCGCATTTAAATCAGTTTTACCCCTCTTAATAGTATAACTATCGATCCTAAATGTGATCACACTCTCTAAGTGTCTTGATCACTAAACCAAAAAGCTTCTATCAATTTCACATTTGTCTTGAGCTTTTGTTTTCTTTCTTCTATTCAAATCCAAGCATGTGATCATCATCATGGCATCACCATCATCATGTTATGGTCTTCATTTGTTTCACCACTTGGAATGTGTCACCTATCTCATAATTACTTTGATAAACTAGGTTGGCACTTAGGGTTTCATCAATTCATCAAAATCAAACTAGAGCTTTTAGTTGTGTGTGTTATTGCGTGCTCTGTTCTCCCTCCTCTTCTTCCTCCGGCCGTAGTGTGTGGGTGGGAGCAGACGGTGAGCAGTTAGCTCACCCGTGCGGGAGATCTCAGGGGACCAACAGACCTGTCCCATAATTTCATCAATGGATATATTCCCCCTCCATAGGTAATCTTACAAAACTTACCGACCTTGATCTTTCAATAATTTCCTTTCAGGATTTATCCCAGCATCCATAGGAAATTTAGCGAGGCTGGATATTTGGTTCTTTCAATAATCAAATAAGTGGTATGCTGCCACCAGAATTAGGATTCCTAAATAATCTCTCGCATCTACACTTAAGTAGCAATAAACTTATGGGCAGCGTTCCACCTCAGATCACACAATGCCGGCTTTTGTCAATTTTAAGCATATCAGACAACTTGTTGACAGAACCAATACCACAAGAGCTTGGGAGTTGTTTTGATTTAAGAGAGTTGAATCTGAGCAGAAATAATCTAAGCGGTACCATCCCAGTGACTCTTCCAAAGCTACACCAATTGTCAGATCTGGACTTATCGTACAACAACTTGAGTGGCAGAGTTGATGCAACCTTTACCTTCTCAGTCAATACCAGGGTTTTGCTTGACCACAATATGGATATGTGTGGTGATTCAGAGTATGGCTTGACACCATGTCACACACCGACAAAAAATCAATAAAATGGCTTTACTTCTTGCTTTTGCTTCGTTTGTCTCGCACTAGGATGCATGGCACTTGTTTATAGGAGAAAATCTTCAAAAGTCAGCGACAAAAGTAAATCTCATGATATGGTCTCCATATGGAATTTTGATGGGAAGATTGCATTCCAAGACATACTCAATGCAACAGAATGTTTTGATGACAAATACCGCATCGGTACTGGAGGATACAGGTCTGTCTTCAGAGCTGAGCTTGAAGGAGGATAATCTATGCTATCAAACTGCTCCACTCCGTTGAAGATTATACTGATGAGAAAGCATTTCATGCTGAGATCCAAGTGTTGACAAAAAGTAAGGCGCCGATGCATAGTCAAGCTGTATGGATACTGTTCTCATTCCAAGTGCAATTTTCTTGTGTACGATCTCATAGAAAGGGAAAGTTTAGCATCCAATTTGCAGGACGAACAGCTTGCCAAGGAGCTCAATTGGTCGACAAGAGTTGCCATTGTTAAAGACGTAGCTCAAGCTCTCTCCTACTTGCACCATGACTATGATACACCCATTATACATCGCGACATCAAAAGTAGCAATATCTTGTTAGACTGTGATTTTAAGGCTTGTGTCTCAGACTTCGGCATGGCTCCGAATTTAAGCATAGTTGCTCAAGTTGAAGCACCATCTTTGCAGGGACATGTGGCTATATAGAACCAGGTATGCTTTGGTCCTTTATTATCATATAAATCCATTTGATTTTGCAGGTTAGTTGTATTCTGATTAATGTTCTATTTCTTTTCACAGAACTGTCATCCACAATGGTGTTTACAGATAAGTGCGATGTCTATAGCTTTGGTGTGCTCACCATGGAAGTAGTCATGGGTAAGCACCCAGGAGATCTGCTACTTCCATTTTCTGCCGAACAGAGCAGCATACTAAGCTCAAGGATATATTGGACCATCGCATCGTAGTACCAACGAGCGACGAGGAGAAAGACATCATCCTGCTTATGCTGGTGGCGTTTGCTTGTTTGCAAATCTGCCCAAAAGCCAGGCGAACAATGCAACAGGCATATCAAGCACTCACAAACAGAAGCTGCCCAACAGTCATCCTGAGGCTAATTCACGAAGTCAAATTACAAGATTTGCATGATTTTGAAGCACCATACAAGCTATATGATGGTTTGTAGTCTCCGCGTTTAGTTATATGGCGTATGTGTATGTATCTTGTGTTAATTTTTCAGAGACCAATGTACTGAATAATGGACATATATATTGAATGGATGGTACATAAAACTTCTATTCAGGCAAGTAGCCCATCAACCAGTGCTACAACACAAACTTAAAAGTTTCGTGGACGAATTTGGTATGTACAAGTAATCAAAATCAATTATCTTTACTACTGTATTCATTTTCTAACACATTTTCTATTTCCTATTTAGATACTATATAATATCTGGTGAACTCACTAGTTACACTGTGCTAGCCCAGCAACCCATGCTCCAGTATGGTAGAATTTTATGTTACATAAGTACTAAAACTTTGGTGAATAAATTTAGTACATACAACTAATAAAAATTGATTGTCTTTACTCTATCAGTATTCTTTTTCTAACAAAATATTCATTTAGATTTAGATATTCTATAATCTTTATCCTGTAATGTAGATGACTCTGATAGATGGAAGGCAAAGTTACTACTTATGTAAATAAAGGAAAATTGATTTTTACATGAATTATCTGAAAGTTTAAAGTTTTATTGGAAGTATAACCTAAGCAGTACCTGGTACAGATGGTCCTGACAAACTACTTTCTGAAGAGTCTGAAGTTCTTTTGTGACGCCGAAGGCAAAGCACTATCTAGGAGCTGCTGCAAGAAGTCCTGACATCGACTGTTGCATATCCTCCTTCAGAGTAGGGCAGTAATCTTTTGTGGTGCTGAAATCTGCAGATATGAAACCTAAAGTGTAGTACATCAAATTTGTCCGGGTTAGTATTTAAATTCATAAGGAAGAACATGAGTGTACAGATTGCTGAATATGCAATCCAGTAAACTAGTACAAAACAATCCCGATAGTGAATAAACATATGAAAAATGTAGGCATGGATTGATTGATCAATATATAAAGTTACATTACTAATAATATCTTGACACTGAAATCATGGATTGGTCGAAATAGCCCTATTTAAGGATGAAAACGATTGAACTCGGTCGAAAAACTCCTCAACCGTTTTTTACTTTTACATTTGAAATACGAAAGCGAAAGCGAAAGCGGACAAGCCGGACACAAAAACGAACACGAACTTACGGAATATTTAGAATTTCGAAAACGAACCAATTCGAGCGGAATTATGTCGAACACGGTCGGTATGTGAAAATTCAATACGAAATACCGACCCACAGTGCATAGCATTAAACAAGTGCACAACCAAATACATAACAAGTTCACAACTAACAAGTGCATGATCTAGTTCAAGTACATAGCATTAAACAAGTGCACGACCAAATACATAATAAGAGAGATGATGAAATTTGGGCACCGTCTATAAGAGAGGCAGCTAGCCATCGATTAGAAAAACGCAATTGCATGGTGAGCGACTTTGTATTTGGGCTGTATATGACTGTCGCAGTTGGCCAAATTACGGTTTAAACCGAATTTTGAATTCGAATATTTCAAATTAAAAGTAGAAAAGTAGAAAGCGGTCGAAAAATGTAAACCGTTTTCTACTTTTACATTTGAAATACAAAACATCTCAAATCGAAAACGAAACGGTAAAATCGGACAAGAAAATACGGATTCGATCGGATTAAATATAGAAAAATCGCGGTCCGGTTCAGGATATTTCCGTTCCGTTTTCATCCTTAGCCCTATTATAGGATGAGGAAAAAGGATACATAATTGCATATGCATCATTTTTGTTTTGTCTCATTACGATACATCTGTTGCTTTGATTTGTTGGCTTGCAGTAGCAAAATTAGGAAAGCATTTTGATCGTGACATCAGAAGTACTGTATCGATTGAAGCAATAATATTTTGTTTATCAATCGACCATCAGTTAGCTCCAGTACACCGACCATCCACCCCACCCCCACCCCCTCGGCATTCAACACAAATGAGACAAAGAAAACAAAGAGACGCCCCGCTCCAGATCAAGGCACGATGTTGTGCTCGCACAGATGACAGACCTCTAATACACTCTACACCACCCATCGTGACACACCAATGGTCCTGCTACACCTAGCACCCGGGGACGGCCATTCTGATGTTGTTCACAACAAATCTCACCTGGCAATTCTTGACCCACATTCATGTTCAGCACAGCATTATTTGAAGCCTTAAACCTTAATAACACAGAGTATCGAAGGGATGCAACATACATTCTGGTGAAGTGAAATCGCTAATGGCTGCCTCATTGATGGAGAATAGAAATTGAATCTCAACTCTTTCCAGACGAAGAAGCAATGTACTAATGCATCATCGATCGTTGGCCGGTTCATATCACAACCACTTGCACGAAAACGCACGCCAAATGCACGAGCAACAGCCTAGGTATCCATGTGGCCGTCCTTTCATTTGTATAATAAAAAAGGGAGACATGCTTATTGGATCAATCAATCAATAGGGTTTGATGGTGGCAACTCCAGCCTACATCAGCTAATGACTGAACCAATCTGTACACATGGACAAATCTAAGGTGCACGGAGCAGTTCCATTAGAGGATGCAACTTGCAGATAGGCAGGCAAGGTTATGTGCCATAGAATGACGAAAACTTGGCCGCCGCATGTGCACGGAGCAGCTGGTGCAGGAGATAAGCTTGGTTGAGAGACTGTTAAATTGACTCTGACATCGACATGGTTACAGCTATTTTGCCTCCATCTCGAAGGCCAAAATAATATTCACGTGCTTGCTTGCTACATGAAAACCACTTCAATCTGAATGATTTGATGGTACGGCCATGCTGCACTTGTACATTCACCTTGTTATCCTAAAACCAACCAAACATGTAGTAATACTGATGAAGGAAAACTCAGCTAGTGATGTAGCCTGAACCCAACACAACTTCACTTCAATACAGGTCATTGTTGTAAGCTTGTATAGCACATGTAGGAAGCAACCAGTTGGTCGTACTTCCAAGTTGCCATTAGAGGATGCAACTTGCAGACAGGCAGGCAAGGTTATGTGCCATAGAATGACAGAAACCTGGGCACTGAGATGGTACATACACATTCAGTGATCCATGCAGCATCCTCAAAATTGATGGGGTGGATTTTGTAGATCTACTAATGCAGTATAACTTATCAACTGATATCAATGAACAAAGAATTTATCAATAAGCAAAATTGAATAGTATGATTTTCATGTAGCAACTAAATGTGTACAATTTCTTAACTAATACCTCCACCTCTCCATGATACAGTAAGCAAATATTTATGTAATGAACTCCAATGAAACTTTCTTTTGGAAGAGAACCCGCAAATCATACCATATCATTCGTGACTTCGACACCGTCACCTCGGACAAGAATGCACTGCACTATCATCAAACTATCCTATAAAACCAAGAATGTAAGTTTTTTGTTGACTGGGCTAATAGATTGAACCCATCCACGGATCAGCACAATATGTCCTGCAGCGTCGGGACGAGCTCACTGGCTTCCGTCCAAAATCATGGTTAGGGAAATATCAGAAAAAACTAAAGGGTACGCTGTCATAGTTTCTGGCGAAGAAGGCTGCGGGATCAATTAGGTTCACCGAGTCTCCATCTCGGCACCCGCCTCCTATGCCTGTAGTTGCTGCCTTCGCCATCATCCTCTCGTCCTTGGACGTTTTCTTAATAACTACGTATAATATGAAAAGGGTAAGCCATTACATTTTGAAATAGATGAAGTAACAACTAAAAAGGGTACAACGGAGCATGTGTATAGTTGAAACCCTTTTAGATACAATTCGTAGAAAATTAGTGAATTTCTTTGAGGACAAAATGTTTTGTTGGATTCACACCAAAAGATGTTTGTTCGAATTTGTAGCACTATCTATTCAGAATATCAATTGCGATACATATGAACCTCTTAAGGTATCAGGTATGATATTATTTTAACTTGTTTAAGTATTGATGTTGGTCTATTTGTAGATGTTGGGTGAGAGACACTTAACATGATACGGTAAAGACACAATTTGAGCTTAATGAAATTGCATACTGATTGTATGCCCGTCACTGTTGACATCAGGGTGTATTTATAGGGGGGCTTCTTCCAATATACTACTAGATTCCCTTTTTTGCCCCGACCCTCATTATACATTCATCGAATTGATTTCAAGGCCCATCAAGGATGCATCGGTCATTCTTACAAACTACTGTGCCCTCATACAACTGTCATGACCAGGAGCTTCACAAAAGCTTTCTTAGCCTTCGCTCGATTAGTCTTCGTATCTCAAGTATTTGTGGGTCAATGCCGTACTTTGTTTGATCAAGCATCATCTGCAGATCAGGCTGAAGGTGGCCATCCATCTTTGGCCTTGTGATTGATTGTCCTTTGGAATCTTCGTCTTCGCAACCAGCTCCATAAAGGTAAAGATGTCCTCTTCGTAGCTTCTCTCGAAGGCTTTCCGCCGCAAAGCCTTGTATATGAAGCCACCCTCCACATAAAGTGTACTACAACTCTAAAGGTTGTGTGATCAACACAAAGGGACCGTGTTGTCCAAGGTCAAATCCCCAACAGTGGATTTTTTTAATAGTCAAATGAATATTACATGAAAGACATATATCTGAACCTCATCATAAGTATTGCTTCAACTTTACCCATTGAGCTAATTCATGTTGTACCATATGGAAGGAATTCAGATGATTCAATATGTATGATGATGGTCTTCTATATATGGGAGGATAAAAAATGGCGGTCTCATATATAATCTTAGAGATCTTTCAAAAAATATATAGTCTTATACACATCATGAGCAATCTTGTAATAACAATTACTAAAATTTATGTGGGAATTCGCTAGATTTAGATTATTTTATCACACTTTTATCTGTGGGAAACTAACCCCGAGTAAAACTTCTATAGGTGGATGTTTGGCTAGATTTAGATTATTTTATCATGCTTTTAGCCGTGGGAATTGTCGGGGACCAATACTAGGGTACCCGAAGAGGAGGAACTAATGGTCATCAACATTGATTCAACCGAGCAGTCAAGAGTGCGCCTATAGCTCCAACCGACCCCCGGGTGCGCGGGCTCCGCCTCGCCCACCCCCAGGTGCGTGGGCTCCGCCTCGCCCGACCTCCGGGGCGGGCTCCGCCTCGCCCGACCCCGAGGCCGCGATCTCCGCCTCTCCCGACCTCCGGGGGCGGGCTCCGCCTCGCCTGACCCCGAGGCCGTGATCTCCGCCTCGCGCGACCTCCGGGGGCGGGCTCCTCCTCGTTCGACCCCGAGGTCGCGATCTCCGCCTCACCAGACCCCTTGGGTGCGGGCTCCGTCTCGCCCGACGGGGACCCATACCGCCGTCAACCACTCCAGGTCCAAGCGTATGGGCCTGAGTCAAAACTCTGTCACCAAGGAAGAGACCGGCACGCCCTGATGTAACCCGCAGCCACGACGGGCCATACCTGAGGATTCAGTGCTGTTCTGCCTAACCCTCGTACGAACACTGACATGCGCATCAGTTCACCACGACGTCCGCCAGAACGAAGTGGAGCGCCATGACCGGCGGATGACGTCTGCGCATGGCGCCAGTGACGGACAGGACCGCGACGTGGAGCCATCCCTGTTGACATCTACAGGGTTGACGGGACCCACATGAAGGAGAAAAAGGATCCAGCGATCCGGGAGGCCTTCCTCTCTCTCGTTCTTCTCCTTTTCCTCCGCTATAACCTGCGCTTTTCCTTGGCCTATAAAAGAAAAAGCAAGGCGCCCCATGAAGGGGATCGATCGATCGACCCATCAAGACTCGATCGGATCCAGATCCGCACCAGAGCACGACACGAGCACACAGCTGAGCAGCGATCGAGCTCTCAGCACCCACTCGCTCCCTTCACCAGAGACTTGGGATCCTTTCCCTCTCTCGCCCATTTGTAACCCCTACTACAAACTTTCGTTGCTAGTAACACGATTGAGGACGTAGGAACTTTCTGCCCGAACTAGTATAAACCTCGTGTCCTCTAAGCACACCATCCGAGCCAGACGCGCAATAATACAAATTTACTCGTCGGTGATAACTCGAAACATCGACAGAAACTAACCCAAGTAAAACTTGTATAGATGAATGTTTGGCTAGATTTCAATTATTTTACCACGCTTTTATCCGGTTGAGGCTCTTAAAGTTGCTAAGCTACTGATCAGGTCCCGAGATAACCACCGATCCAACCTGAAATTCGCTTTCATGGGAAGTCAAACCTTAAGACCCAAGGACTACTAGAGCCACCTAACCAACTCAGCTAGGTATATACCCATTCGCATGACATTTCGAGATTACCATGCATCAGGGCGTCATGATTGTATCGTCATGTATGCATGCATAATAAGCTGTAACCTTTATTATGAAGTTGTACTGAACGGTGAAACAACACATATTACACGAACATGGTGATTAGTGAGTACACTGTCTTCGCAAGCCATTGGTAGCAGTGATGTCGAGTCTTAGCACGGGACTTAAAACATTCAGAGGTGCGGGTATATATATCGCGTTGGATCGGTATAGTAGTTTAGTCGTTAGTTATAAATGGCTGGGTATGTAACGCTTGGGTAGCTAGACGTTGTTCCCGGTGACGGGGCAGCCGGAGGCGCAGACCATGGCGTCATTGGTGCACTTGAGGAGGCAGATGGGCCGCTCCACGGGGTCCAGGTCGATCAGCGGCTGGTAGCAGTCCAGCATGCAGGAGGTCATCCCGGACCCGCAGATGGTGACGCACTGCGTCAGCCCGGCCACAGGGGACGACGACCGGTGGTGGCCGCCGTGGTCGTCGTCGTCGTGTTTCCAGACGTGGCCTTGGTGGTGACCTCCTGCATGATGCACGAGCGCCAGCAGCAGAAGCATCGCCGCGACAGCCTTCATGATGCACGTACGTACGCGTACCTTCTTCGGAGCTGTCGACCTCTGCTCGATCTGAAGAGTGAATGAAGACGAAGGTGCAGGTGTATCGAGAGATCGATGGTAGCTGCGTTGCGTTGGGTTGAGCCGGATATTGGCATCGATCATGTATATATATATACACGCGACGCAAGGAGGAGCCGAGATCGTCGTACGTGTTGGCGTTGCCTGGAAGGAACGTGCATGTGCTGCGCATGAGAGATGTGTGAAGTGAACGCCGTGCCCAACTTGACTTGCCGCAAGCAGCAACATCTGTGTGAGCGGAACAGAAACTGACAGGGGTGCTGCAGCTGCTGGCAGGCCTCATCACTTGGCAGAAAACATGCACCTGCTGCTCGCGCCGTGTCCACTTCCATAAGAGCAAGCCCAACAATGGGCGTATCGCCCGACAGGTGAGCAGCGCACATGAGCTGGAAGGGAGAGGAGGAGGTGAGAGAATGGCCCTTGGCGCTAGATGCATGGATCAGCTCGTCACTTGCTCCAAGAAAGGAAGCAGTTTTACGGTGGGGTAGTAGATGAGGTGGTGCAAAATAACTGGATGATAGAAGTTCGTCACTATAAAAATAGAATTTATAGAGAATATAAAATAACTATAGAGACAAGTGAAAAGACTATTGTTGTATAACTTGTCTATTATGTAGATGACATGTCTTGTCTTATAGCCAAATACTTGGCTCTTTTATTGCACTTGCTCTAAGGCCTTGTTTAAATTAGAGTGTAAAGTTTTGAGGTGTCACATCGCGTATGTGGTGTTTGGATACTAATAAAAAAACAAATTACAGAATCCATTAGTAATCCGCGAGACGAATTTGTTAAGTCTAACTAATCTGTCATTAGCATATGTGTTAATGTAGCACCACATTCTCAAATTATGGACTAATTAGGCTTAAAATATTCGTCTCGCAAATTAGTCGTAAATTGTACAATTAATTATTTTTTAGTTTATATTTAATACTATATACATGTGTCTAAACATTTAATGAAATAGAGAGTAAACTTTAGAGGAGAACTAAGGGCCAAGTGAGCCGGCCGCCATTGCTTCGACCAATAGGGTTTGGACAGTGTGTGTCACAGTCACAGCCTCACAAGTGACCTGACCTCGCAGGCTCGCACGCGGCCTCGGGATTCATTTGGTTCAGCGCCGTGCATACCTGGTTGTATGGTTGCCACTGATGTTGTGAGAAAGGAGTTTATGAAACAAAACATTAATAAATTAATAGGCTACTTGTAAACCTCGGCCATCAAGTTGAGATGGCCGAGTTGGTCTAAGGCTCCAGATTCAAATCCCACTCTCAACACTTATTTTAGTTTTAAAATTTTGATTTTTGTTGCTCTTCGATTCTTTATTTTTTTATTTTTAAACTTCTGTGTTTTGTTGCTCTTCAATCCACTCTCAGTACTTGTGTGTTTTGTTGCTCTTCAATTCACTCTCAACACTAGTTTTTTTTATAAAAAAAAACTTCTGTTTTTTGTTGCTCTTCAATTCACTCTCAATACTAGTTAGTATCTTTTTAACTTCTGTTTTTGTTGCTCTTCGATTCTTTATTTTTTTATTTTTAAACTTCTGTGTTTTGTTGCTCTTCAATCCACTCTCAGTACTTGTGTGTTTTGTTGCTCTTCAATTCACTCTCAACACTAGTTTTTTTTATAAAAAAAAACTTCTGTTTTTTGTTGCTCTTCAATTCACTCTCAATACTAGTTAGTATCTTTTTAACTTCTGTTTTTGTTGCTCTTCATTTCTTTACTTTTTTTAGACGGCTTTCAAACATTTTTTTTGGTTGCTCTTCATCCTTTCTTTATCATGCATTTGTCAGATTTTGATTTTTTTTTCGAACGAATTTAAAATTTCTTTCTTTTTGGTGCTCTTTATCGTTTTGTACCCAGGATTACGAACCACCACCATCTGAAATCTTGTATTATATTGTATTGTACCCACTGCAATAGTAGGTCGACAAGATTATAGCGACAAAAAGAACGAGAAAGAAATGGATATCATAGCAGAGAGCAACGGTGTCATCAGCAGACGTCGATGCAGCCAAGGTACTCTGTCTCGCACCTCCGCCGCCGCACGGCGCCAGCGCTCCGCTCCGCTCCTCCGTCCCGCCGGCGCAGCGACACGGTGGCGCTGCTGCTGGCGCAGCCCGACGCCGCGGCGCACGCCAGCATCTCCGTCGTTCACCTGCGAACGCACTGCATCTCCACCTCCGCCTCCCCGGCGCCTGGCGCTGCAGCCACCACCGCACGGCAGGCCACCGTTGCCACCTGCGTGGCCGCGACGAGGAAGACGGCGACCGTAAGCAACGCGGCGGTCCTCCCGATGCCAACGGCCATTGATGGCTTGTTACATCACGTACGTACGTGGTAGGCTGGTAGGCGTGTATAAAGACGAAATGATCGAGGTGGGGGTGTGCGAGAAAGTCTTAGGGCCTTCGATTGTAAATTTTTTTTTTAACCTGGACATTGTAGAACGTTTCGTTTGTATTTGATAAACTTTGTCTGATCATGGACTAACTAGGCTCAAAAGATTCGTCTCGTGATTTACAACCAAACTGTGTAATTAGTTATTTTTTTACCTATATTTAATGTTCCATGCATGCGTGCGTCAAAAATTGATGTGATGGAGAGAGAGGTGAAAAAAACTTGGAATTTGGAGGCAATCTAAACAAGGCCTGGGTCGCGGTTCGAGGTGGATTCTACGGTGATAAGTCCGACCGATGTTGTTTATTGCGAGAAAAAAATAGCGTTATATCATGGTGATAAGTCGTGCCGATAAGTTAAAGCGAAAAAAAAAAAGACGCTGCGGTGCGGTTGGTCAGTGGTCGGTCAGTTGAGGCGTTCAAGCATCAACCGGCAGTGTCGTGTGCAGGTGACAGTGTGTGTGACATGATTACTGCACCTGCACCTCCGGCTCCGGCCACCGGCCACCGCAAGTTCGCAACCACCAAATTCTCACCCGTTCATTCGTGATGCCGTCACTGGTTGGCAGTGTCTTTTATGTACGTAAAATAGAGACAGTGGTATAGTGCTCTGCTCCAGTAACCAAGTCTGTCGCGTCCAGTCGTCTTCTTGAGTAGTACCGTATATATACTGTACCCCAAACCTGATAGCCGATAAAAAGGCCAGGTGGCTGGGCTTTGCAGATGGGCCTGCAGCCCACACTGCGAAGGGTCCACGGTCTCACTCATGATCATCAAAGCAGCCCATGCCCATCCTTGCGCACTAATCCGGAACCCTTGCTGAAACAAGGATAAGAAAGAGCAGCGACCAATCGCTGAGCTGTTGTGACTACGACTGCACAGGAGACTAGTAGCTTAGAGTTAGGTCAGGTCAGGTTGAAGCAAGCAGAGCAATGATAAAGCTCATGAGCTCAGTCCCATACCATACATGCTCCCATGGTCACTCACCTCACATGGGCGTCTCGTGCGTGCGCCCCCGTTTGCTTCAGCGATCAGCATCCAGGAAAGCTTTTTTTTTTTTTGAACATAACCAGGAAAGCTTTTTTTAAAGCGGGAGCCGGGAGGGAGAAGAGAGGTGGCACCGTGGCAGTCAGGCAGTGGCAGCCTTGGCCTTTTCCATTCGATCCAATCCAGCACCCGGACGGCGGGATGGGCCTCCAGCCCACGCGGGCCAGGGGCACGCGCCCCACCACCGCACCGCATCGATCGGGCCGGTCGGCGGCCGATCCAACGGCTGGGAGGACGTCTACGGCACTGGCGTGGTCCGCAGCGGCGGCGAAGTCGGCAGGGTGTATTCATACAGGAGAACTGTACGTAGCCGTAGACGACGACGACCACGCGGGGCCAGACAAGGGAGGCGGCGGGAGGGACCACCGCAGCGCGGGGTAGTTTCGTCATTTCGCTGCGTGTGATGCGATGCGCGGGGCAGAAAAAATCCGGAAATGGGAGGTGAGGGGACAGAACGTGGTCGGTGCATCGTGGGTGTCAGGACGATGCTGGCCATGTGAGTGGGCGTGAGATCCAAGGCGCCCCCGTCTCGGGAACAAGGCTGCCATTTTTAACTAACCCACGCCACATCTTTTCTCTTCTTTATTTTTTTTTGTTTTTCCACCGGTTTCTCATTCGCTGGTGCTAATTTGTCGTTAAGTAATTAATTTGCTATGTTAAGAATTTAGGATAGTTCTTCTTCACCTATAGTCTACAGATAGGATCATTTCTAAGAGTTCAATAAAACTCTTTGCTAAAGAAGAAAGAAAAAAAAAACAACGCTTAGAACAAACAGTCTTGCATGTAAACGACAAGCTCTTGGCAAATCCTCTCCTCAATCCACCAATATAGAGGTGTGCGTTGTGTGATTACTATCCGCTCGGGTGGCCCCACCACCATGGTTTTCCTCCTTTTTGTTCTCCGGTGTTTTCTCCTCCTACCTATTTTTTTTTAGTTTTAGAAAGCTATAAGTACTAAAAACTATTGAAAAAAAGACAAAAAAAACTCCCTATCCATAATTGACATAATTATTACTTCCTCCATTCTAAATTATAAGTCGTTTGAGTTTTCTTAGAGACATTTTTTGCTACCTAGATATACACTGCATCTACATTCGTAGCACAATCAATGTAGGTAGAAAAGCCTAAATGACTTGTAATTTGTAATAAAGGGAGTAGTTTATTATAGAGTAGAGTATTTTTTTAAGAAGCTTTTGGAAATCCTCTCGAAACCAACAATCATCCAACTAAGCCGCTCTCCACGTCAGCAACAAAACAGGTTCTCATGAATTTGTGGCATGGGACGTTTTTCGTCTTGTAGATGTCAATTAACTAGGAGAATCATGTTTATTCCCCCTCCCCCCCCCCTCTGTTTGTGTTTGTGTGTCTATGCATAGAGAATTAGATGTTTTTTTGAGACGGTATTGTATCAACATGAGGCACAAATAGTCAAGTTCCTGGTCACGAATCTATGTTTTGATTATCACACCGGAATGGCTAGCCTAGACGAATTAACATGCCAAAAGATCAAGACATCGACAGTAGAGCAATGCGTGTTGGCTCGTGCGCAGGGGTTATGCTCCAAATTCATTCAGGGGCCGTTTGGATCCCTTCATTTTAGAGGAATTGAAATCTACCTAATGGATTAGACTATTTGGCTTGGAATTTGAGATTCCACAACTTTTCAAAGTTCACATATAAGTCTATCTCAAATTCATAGGGTGGGAGATGAAAATCGATTCTATAGATAACCATGCTATGTTTGTAATCTATAACTTATAGCATGCTCTTCAACTCACTTCCTTATAGTAGAAATGCAACATATAAGCATCTTCCTTGCATTGCTAACAATAGTATACAAATATATTCCATATACAATCATATTAGCTTAATTAATATATGTCTAAATTATAATTTATTAGAATAAATTTAATTCTAAAGATCCAAACGGGGCCAAGAAGGTGCATATAGTAATATACGAGTTATTAGAGCATGCCATACTTCAATTTCTTCACGAAGGATATATGTGAATCCGGTGCACACATATGCTCTTCTGCCCTAGATACAAAGCTACCATTTTTATTAACAAAAACACATTTTCTAGTGCCTCATATCTCATATTTAATCAAGAAAACAAATGGATGATAATACATATGATAGATATCTTTACACAAAACAACTTTAAAAAATAAAAGTACATCAAAGATTAATCCGGTTGTCTTCTTCTGCTTCAAACCCTCTACAAACCCCATCGTCATACAGGGCTCTAAAATTCATAAAAGTCGCTGATAGATGGCAATGAGTTCTAGTACACATTGAAATAATATGGGCTAGATGAACACCTAGCAAAGCCTGATTGTTCAGAAATCAAACTTAGTTGTAGAACAAACCGGCAAAAGAGATCGAAATCACCGCATCAAAAGTCAAATGAACCATTTTCCTGATCGACACATCAGCTGTCAAGATCAAAAGAGCGCTAGCAGATCTGGAGATAGAAGCATTGGCGAAGCTATATACATGTGGGTGCAAATGCACCCAAAAAATAGAATACCATTGATTATATTTTCATCATGGTTGCAACTCAAGTCTACGCATCTATAAGGCAGGTGTGTCTCCTTCAATTTGCTCTAGTTTCGTCACTGGATGGAAAAAAAATAGTTGAGTCTTATCAGAGAGACCCATATAAAAAGATCTGTTAGCCCACGAGTACTTCAATTCATGCCATTTTTCATTCACTGATTTCCTGTGCACGGTGAAAAGCTAGCTACAAAAGGATTTTCAGTTTTTCACATGTTTCCCAATTAATTTAGGCTAGTTCCTTAAGCAAATAAATTGTTCTAAAAACGAACAATCAAATAAAAACATAACGTTCATAACGTGAGCAACCAGAAGCGTCTGCTTCAAATTTGTGGTCCACCACGTCTTTTCGTTTTGTGGACGACAATTAACCCGGACAAATCTTGCATATTCTCTTATTTTTATGCGTGTTTAAACATGGAGAGTTGGATCGGATGTGCTTTCCGAAGTTCTTATCCATAGGGCTTTTGTAGTGCTTCTATTTGTTTTCTTTTCTTCTAATAACATAGTAACGAGAGGTGATAAGAATTTAGAACCCCAACGATAGATGAAGAATTGATGACATAATCATAAAAAATACAATCACCGCATCTAGACAGATCTTAAGTTGGAACAATTGTATGTGATAAAAAACGTAGTGCACAAAGCTTCTGTCTCTTTTTTGTATATTTAGAGAAGTTGCAATGAGGCAGCTTATGTAATGGCTAGGCTAGTTGATCAGTTCTTTGGTTCAGTTTGGTGTAATGAGAATTCGAATGCAATTCAAGCCCTCCTTGTAACGATGTGTTAAGATAATACAATGCTATCTATTTCAAAAACAAAAAAACACTCTCGTGAGGTAGACACAGGTGAAACTAACAAATTACGAAATGGAGATAGCAAAGTTGTTCATGGATTCAGCAAGCTCAAAAAAGAGGACTATATATACTTATATAGGCCACACATAACATAAGAGTAAGTTAAATTACAGGGATAGTGATCGATGACAATGGCTACACACGCTCATGACGGACACCTCCGAAGCAGGCATGGTACAACCATAGGTAACATCGGAGAACAAGGCTGTGAAGTGAGCAAGAGAGAGGTACAGCATGTTTGTTGGTTGATTTTTGGGCTGATAAGCACGACTGGTGCTGGTTTGTTGTGAGAGAAAAATACTGTACCACGATCGATAAGTCTTGACTGAAACCCACGAGCAAACATGCTAGTAGTAGGGTTTGGATTGCCCGTGTGTTTAGGCAATAGATTTGATAGATGAAGTCTAGGGTTCAGATCATTGCCCCGATTGGAGGTAGGTATTTTTGCTCCCTCAAATAAAAAGTCTAGGTCACCGCTCACCAATAGTCAGATCAGATCCTCCTCGCTCCGACGACCTACGAGTGGTGCACACGCACGTACGATACGCTAGCTATGTGCTGCAAGCAACAACAAGCAAGTCGTGACGGCCCGAACGACAGAAACGAGGGATATTTTCCTCCGGCCGGCACACACATATCTTGGCAATGTATCAAGTGAAAACCTTCTTCGTTTGTTTACTCATCAGCAAATAAAAGAGGCGGTGGACATAAATAAATATATAAATAAAATATATAAAACGGCAGGAAAGGAAAGCAGCTAAAAAAGAAAAGGAGGGGCAGGCACGAGAGACGTGGTCCACCTGCCCACCCGGCGCCAACTGGGCGGTTGGTATATTTGCGGTGGCCGGGGCAGTCAGCACCGCATTGCCGCCTCCTTCTCACCCGCCTCAGGCCTCAGCCTCACGAAAAGGCAGGCAAGGCGAAGGCGAAGGCGAAGGCGAAGGCCAAGCCGTCCCCTCCCTCCTCCGTTGCTTCAGTTCATCCGTTCCATCCCCCTATCTAATCCTGGTTCCTGGACCCCGGCCTGCAATCTCCACAGCAGCGGCGCCGGCGAGAGGAGTCTGAGCCTCTCTGGCAAAGGAAGAACTTTTTGCGAGATTGAGACCCGGAGGATGCCTTCCAGGGCCATGAACCGGCTGTTCGTCGATTCCGCCTCCGGCAGCGCCGGCTGCCGGGACGCCGAGCCGGTGCTCTGCGCGCCTCGGCCGCGCAGGGTCCAGGTCCACCCCTGCAGCGCCGACCTCATCCTTGGCCCGCCGCCCTTCCTGCTCAACAGCAACAGTAAGGTACGGCTGCCTGGACCAATCCTCCTTCCGACCCCCTGCCAAAATCTCCTCTTTCCACGCCGTTCTTGTTCGCCGTCGCTTACAAAGACGTGTCCTTTCTTATTACAGAGCAGCAAGGAGGGAGGCAGGACCAAGCCGGCGGAGGTGGGGGAGGAGGATGACGGGGGCTGCTGGGCGGTGTTCGGCGGGTCGCCGCCGGCGCGCGCGGACAACCCGCTGGTGCACGACCCCCACTTCCTGCTGAACCAGCGCCAGCCCGCGGCGGACCCAACGCCGCTGGAGCTCGGATTTTTTTACCACCGGAGCCGCACCAGCTACGTCCACCGCCCGACGTATAGCAGCAACAGTAACAGCAGTTTTGCCCCGTCGTCGTTCGCGCCGTCCGTGAGGATCCAGGGGTTCGACGTCGCCGCGTGCCGGAGCTCCCACAGCAACGGCGGCAGCCGCGTGCTGTCCGCCCGCGCCTGAGCGAGCTCCGGCCGGGGCGGCGGCGCCGAGCCCGCCCGCACTCGCCCCGCCCAGGGAGGAGGAAGAGGAGGAGGAGTAAGACCTCACGAACCTTGTACAGTTTTCGCCAGCCGGCCGTCGTACGACTTCCACCACGATGATGATGCTACGTGTGCTCCGTTCGTCTTTTCTTGTGGTATATACAGCAGCGGGTTTTTCATTTTTATTAACAGCAGTTCAGTTCAGTTCAGATCAGATCAGAATAGAGAGGAGGCGAGGGGAGATGAGATCTCCTCCTCCCGCCAAGAAGAGTACTACTAGTAGATTGATGTTCGCCGATACCACACCACACAGCAAGAGGGATGGTCAAAGGGAGAGAAGAAACTGAAAAAAATTTCCTCATATTTTTTTACTGGGTTTTGTCAGCAAGGTTTTCTAAGATATGTTTTGTGTTCGTGTTGTAAACTAGCATAGCATGGATCGATCCATCTCTTGTTCGTTGCTGTGATCTGGGTGCCCTACCTGTAGATATAAAATCAGCACTCAGGTCAGTCAGCGTTCGTGTTCTTGTAGTTCAGGAAAAAAAGATGCCAGCTTCTCGCTTTGCTTAAGCGAGCGACGAAGCTACCGCCATGTAACCATGGTTGTACTCCTACAAACAATATGTATAAAGAAACCGTGTACATACACATGATATATTAATTATGCAGTGATCATCATCAGAGCCCGGAGGCCGGCGGATGTTGAGCCGCCGCTGCCTCGTGTGTTCATACGTATCTTGTGATTCTTTTTGTCGATCGAGGGGAAGGGGGAAAAAGAAATCCTCCCATGTTCGTTCGAGCAGCTGGGCGGTTCTGGGAAGACAGGACATGGTAGGTGGCCGTGCCGGCCGGCCGGCCGTTCCCTTCCTCCCGCGAGAAATACGGGGTCCGGTTGTTCGTCGCTGGTTCCGTCCTGCACATGCTGAGCTGAGGCTGAGCTGTTCTCCTGTCCTGGCACGGACTCGCCGGACTGAGAGTGAGATCTCCTCCCTGTACTCCACTGCGATGCGATGGCTACGAGTAGGAAACCAGCGAGCGGCGACCCCTCCCCCGTGCGTCGCCGCTGCGCGCACGCGCCATTGACCGACCGCCGCGCCGCGCCACGACGAGGCGGGGAGGAGAGAGTAGCGTGGAGGCCTCGGCTTCAACGGCTCCATCCATCCACCGGCGGACGGCGACCTGGACCGGCCGGCCCTGTGTGCGACGCACACGCAACCACGTCGCGGCAGCACCGCCCGCGTCGCCGTCGGATGGCACGGCGGGAGCGTCGCGTGGGGAAACGGAACGAAGCCCAACCGCACCCGGAGAGGCGGAGACCCGCAGCGAGGGATGGAAGCGTCGCTGTCGGCCGCATCCATCAGCCGCGCCCGCGGCGAAAGTTCCGAGGCCAGGACGGGGGGGTCAGTGCAGGTGCTAGCGCTCGTGCCGAACCGAGGCGGCAAGGCAAAGGGGGTTGACGTGACGCCCGCTTGTCCGCCTGCGACAAAATCAAGCGAGCAAGTCGTTGTCTGCTGTCTCTGCCTGCTCGCCCGCCTTGGCCTTCTTCTTGTTCCGTTTCCAGCATCTCCTTGTTGTTGGTGCTTTACCTTGCCAAGCTACTACTCACTGCCATCATCTCTGTCTGTAGCGCTTGTTTTTCTTTACTGTGGAGATGCTCCTAGTATACAGCAACTTACTTAGCAAGTGCCTAGTTTAGTCCACCTGCTGAGCTTCCGAGATGTGTGCTAGTCGTTTTTACCTCCACGTCACTCTCCCCCGGCTGCATTAGCGAGTTTGGTAGTACAAGTTATCGAGACTGTCATATCAGATTTTGTGTTGGTAACTATGTCGACGGGTTCTGTCCTGATAAAACTCTCTTTATCTCCCTCTTCACAATTAATCTGTCAAGTTATCAAATTTGCTGACATGTCACAATATTAAATGCAAATGAAACTCTAGCCGACTGATCTCTCTCCACATGTTTTCATATATTTTCTCTGCACCAAGAATTACATGAACCTGGGTTGCTGACAAAGACAAACAAGCCAAGTCCTGGTGTCAACTCAGTCTGATACAACATAACCTAAGAGCCTCAGACATGAACATGAGATTTGAACAGAACACCACTAGTACCACTGGGCGAACCGTTCAAGTTAGTATTCAAATGTTGGGCCGGGGTGTCAACAGCTACTACGATTATCCCGATTAGTTTGACCAGGCCACGAGGACGAGGGGGCCTTCACTATAATAGTCAATTGAATTTCGTCGCTGGTGACTCCAGCTCCAAACAAAAGGCAGGAAAGCAAACGCGTGCACTCTTGGGTGTTTGTCCCACATCACACTGGTGTCTGGACCCGGCTGAGCTGGACGGAACGGCGGGTGCATGCATCGCACCACCTGGTTCCGATGTCCCCGAATTCCTGTCGCCGTCAGCCCCCATTTTCCTGACGATTTCCTTCTTTGGCTTTTATTTTATTTATATTATTATATATAGGGAGTACATATTGTATTTGGCAGGCGAGAAACGAGGACAATTCCAAAGGAGATAGGTTATCCATCGCGATTAAGTGCGGTATGGCTGATACATGATTGACGCTATCCTCCGGACCTAATCACTGTGCTAGGATCTCATCGTCACCCGTGATTTCCTTTGCTGAAAAAGCGAGTGCCATCACTTCAGAGCATGTGGCCAGGTGCAGGTTATATGTTAGTGCCATATGTCAAAGTTAGATTGCGATACATACTACACCATCAGTGCAGGTCCATCTTATTCTGTCACAAGATTTTTTTTGGAGCCTTGTCTAGACTTATTGTAAATTTACAACTCACTTACCTTATCTCTCCTCTAATTTAGCATAATTCTGATGTGATAACTCGTATAACCCGTGTATATCACCTTATTATACTTGCCTTCTTGTGCCCCCAAACTTCCATTTCCCTATACAGGTCACTAAAAGATTGTACTAACTGACGAAGGTCTTTTTTTTTAAAAGAGATGACGAAGGTCTTGTGATTGGCAAAAAAAAAGCGAGAGAGATGATGGATTCACCTCCTATTGAACGGTAAAACGCAAGAGTAATTTCGCATGTATGCAACTGTTTCGTTAAAGTGATTCTAGCTCAATTGGATTGGAGGTCAACCAAGGTAAAGTCTGGGGGCTGTCTAAAGCAATTATGTAGAGCTGAAATTCAGAAGTTCACATGCTGTTACCTATGATTTCGACTTTGTTGGAATTGGTTGCAGAGGTAGAGCGTTAGCAACGCAGAAATACTACTGTTTCCATGTTTACAACGTCACACATACGACCTTTCTCTTTTGTTGACTTTGACCCGCTTGTGTAGTATATATATATATATACATGAAAAACAACACAAAGAAACGCTGCTCGAGTCGACTAAGCTTATCACCTCGCGTTGGAACGCCACGTAGAGATTACCCTGCTTATCCCAGGAGCTTACGTACTACAGCCCCGTTTGCAAAGGCTTCTCCTCACAAAAAGGTTTCAGCTTCTAGAGAGAATATTCTGCAATATAGCAAGGTTGTATTTTAGAAATGAATCAAAAGCGGCTTCGGCTACAGCCAAAAGACGCCTTACCGAACAGGATCTACGCAGGACACACTAACGCGCAATACAGCAAGCAAATAATAGCGCATCAGAATCGCCAGTTAAGCTGCAGCAAAAAAAGCAGGTGGAGTTTCACGTGGGATTAGTCAAAGGAGAGTCAAGCACAGCACAGCACAGCTCAGATGATCTGGCTGCTATCACCTTCTAACGTGCCTGGAATCCCCACGTGGCACGACGAAAGGAGAAGAGCGATTACATTTCACTACCTAAAGTGCAAAACGAAATGGAATTGCTTTGTACAAGAGGAAAGAACAAAGCAAGAAATGAGCCCACTTGTAAAAGACAAGGCACATCCTTCGGAATTCCACTACCAGTTGCAGCATAATTCCTGAGGGCCCACTTGTGTACGAGTAATAGTATATATATATATATAAATTCCAATGGTGTGGTGAATGGTGACACTGAGAACGACATCCATAGGCAACAAGCATATCAGATAAGAGGATGATCCAAATATACTACTCTCAAGTCTTAAGGTGAGTTCAGTCATAATTTACGGTGTCAGAATGTCCAAATTCGTATATAGAAAAGTCAGATTATAATTAAGTGGAAAAAAGTTTGAAAAATCATTATCTTTTGCTATTGTCAGGTCTACAGGATTAAAACTGACTTTTTGAAGGCGTCTTCTCTTGGAATTTATGGCGTGGATGCCTGCAGGAGCTGTCTATATCAATATCATACAGAATCGGGAATTCATAGAATTATATTGCCTTTCGGCTTTTATGAAAGGCAACAAGAATTTCCTACTTTGTGTTTTTTTTGGACGCCATTTCCTACTTTGTGTTAAGATTCCATGATTTGAAGGAATGAAACTTGGAGTAACTACTGTTGTTCTTCAAGAGAAATCTTAAAGCACAGCCATCATTGATTTTTTTTTGAGAATGTGCAGGAGGTGCGTATCTCTGTATTAGATAGAGAAATATTTTTTTTTCAATATAACACTGTTACACGAACTGGCAAGGCATCTGCTAGAAGCCCTTACATTACACACACGTGGGCTATACTGTCAAACCAATGATGGAGATGTAGAGGTAAAGAGACAAACGTCATGTTCGCTTGGGCTTATTTGACTGATAAGCCATGGCTGAAAATACTATTGGCTGATTTTGTATGAGACAAAAATACTGTTCGTTGGCTGAAAAAGTACGGCTTATAAGCCAAATAAGCCCAAGTGAACAGGGTTGGCTGATTTTGTGTGAGAGAAAAATACTATTTGTTAGCTGAAAAAGTACGGTTTATAAGCCAAACAAGACCTCAAGACTACCCTGCTTTCAGATTAGACATCTGACCAGCAGGAACAGGAGTTATGCTTCACTGTGATTATTGATCAACGAAAAATTGGGAACTTTATTTTTCGTGAAGGTGTAATAGAGAAGCAGGAACCAAGTCTCGTACAAAGGAAAAACAACTGTGTCAAAGAAGAAGCAAAGAACAGAAAGAAACACTGGACATAAAAACTGGAAAAGTCCGTGTGTTAAAACTGGAAATGACTGATCAAAACTGGAAAAAGCTGAGGCCCAACAAACCCCGCAGGAAATGGGCTGCCCACTGGACTGGCCAAATTACCTAACTTGATCATGTGGGCTTCCTTACGACAACCAAAATACAAGACTCATTCGTCCTTTAGGTAGCGCTACAGACAAAGGGTTCGATACATATTCGGTATCTTCTCCAACAACAAGACCCAAAAAAGAATACTTTCTGCTAATGTGTTTTCAGGAGAGAAGATACCCATATTTAGGTTGTGCCTCTCAGACAACCCAAAATAAGTCTTCAGTGTAGATACTCTGTTGAAGACTGATTTTAAGTCTCTTGCTGTCTATTTTGGATTTGTATGTCCATATGGTTCCTTGGTTGGAGTTATACGATTTTGTTGGTCATTCGAGCTGGGTGCATGGGATCGGTATCCCATATCAGGCACCACACGGGCAATAGGGATCGCCAAAGCCCATAACAGCTAACTAACAGACTTTTTTTTTTCCCGATACCCACGCAGACGTTAACAGAGAAACTCCAAAGCGAAAATCTTTACACGTGTAAAACTGCTAACAGAGATTACTTGACTTTTCACTATAAGAGATGAATGAAAACGAGGTCGGCACAGCAGGTATGACGCGTCGGTGAACATGGGTGCCTGCAACTGGATAGTGGATACAAAGGAAACCGGATAACGGCCAGGTGCTGGCATCATTCATAGACACGACCAAATCGTCAAAAGCAGAGGTTCAAAAAAACCCCCCGTCAAAAACAGGCGCTGAACATTTCTGGCCCACCGTTTCCTGATTTTTACCAACCAAAGTAAAATGCCTTAGCCAGCAAGTATTCCCTAGATTTACCATGCATATTGTATTCAAAAGTGAGATTGGAAAAATGAGGAGAAAGATGCCAAGGCACTCTTGTCATCACACCGAAGTCCTGTAGCTGAGAGCTGCATAGGCTGCATCTACCAAGTCATCACTAAATCGTCATTATGTAGTTTGCCCTGAGTTCGTCTATGTACGTCATTTCTAACCACTGATAAGGACACCTGATAGTAACCAGAACTATAGAAAAGTAAACTAGCAGCACTAATATTACGCGTTTACTAGTTCTTATAAGTTATAATCCACTGGCCATGCTGCACGTAGCAATAAAAGATTAAAAACTTTGAAAGTTCAACTAACTTGCGCACATGGTCAATGGTCTTGTCCCTTCAGTAATTCAGGTTGCCTATCTTTTCGAGGAATTCACACGCTTGGCTGCAGGTGGTATATTCCAGTTCTAGAAGACCAGAAGCCATTAGCATGAAGACTTTTCTCTGCACGGATCCTGCACAAGAAAGAATGGTCAAGTCCATGGTGCAGGGCAGCACGAAAGAGAGTTAAAACTACCAACAAGTTGCAAAAGAACACTTCGCCTCCCATGTTTTCCAACTATAGCTGTCCGTATTGAAGAATCCAAGTCAATCGCCTCGTTCAACTTGGCTTATATGTTCGTCTTTTTTCGGTTAACGAATAGTATTTTTTCTCTCACAAATCAATCATACAATGGTGATTTTCTGGCTTATCAATAGCCAAGCGAAAGGGCAGCCACTTTTGGGCGTTACACACTGTTCTAATATCGCGGTTCTTTACATATTGGGGATGGAAATACAAACTTGCATAAATGAATCTCCAACTTCAACAAGTAGGAAAGCGAAGTTCAGAGCATGTAATAGGCACCGGTGTAAGGTTTTGTGACAATTAGAATTTCATTTTCATACTCACATAGATATGTGATGTAAGGATTAGAGTTTCTACAGAATTGATCCATGTATGCTCAACATGATTTTTTTTTTTCCCTAAAATTTAATCTATACATGCCAGCAGCGTAGGATTTCTTTTCATTGTCGATAAGTGAGGGGAGAACTGGAACTGAACGGCCATGTCGCTGATACTTACAGAAAGTTTAGTGCAACTCACACTTACCCACGAGTGTGGGAAGAAAGTCAGCATGCCCTCCCACACTCACGTTCCTGGCTTACATAAAGATCACAGGATTCACGGCAGCAGGGTTGAATGAAGACCTTGCCAAGTGAAGCGAATGATAAGACATAACAGTGTCTGACTTCATCAACATGCAATGAGACATCTGTTGGTTACACGAGCATCCTCATTCGGTCATTCCTCTCTATCCCCCAACATGTTCATACTGGTCACTGAAAAAGAAAGAGCGCCCATTCATACTCCAATATCACAAGTTAGGCACCTATGACTGCGAGAAAGTAACGGCCTGGCATCACGCTTGGCATCACCCAGGATGCCTATAAAAGCCAAGTTATGTGAAACTGAGCAAAAGGTCAGCCAGAGCAAGACTCCATACCTTCAAGATGGCTGAACCTCAGCGCACAAACAGCAATGGAGCTGCTCGTGGTAATGCAGACTCTGAATATGCATCAGAGAAACTGCCACCAAAGAGGCTACAGAGATTTGATTCACTGCATATGGAGGCTGGAAAGATTCCTGGTGGACCAACACATGCAGCCAAGGTATGTTCTCCAGCTACTCTAATTCAATCAAACAACATATCCTTCTTTCGCTCGAAATCTCATAACTGCATGGATATGTTTGAATTGTCATCAGTTTAAATATTTCTGTAGAGAATATTCTGTTAAAACCTAAAATAACTATTGAATTTTAATGTTTACCCTCGTCTTATGTGAGGAAACTAATCACATCACTATATCAGCTACTTGGTCATCTAAGGGTTACGTGACTAAGCACATCACTATATCTGCATTTTTTTTGGTAAATGTAATCTGATTCCATGTTTGCACTTTGCTACCGAAGGTTGGCTGGGTAACCACACTACATTTGGCATTCCAAAGCATAGGTGTGGTTTATGGCGACATGGGGACTTCTCCTCTCTATGTTTTCTCCAGCACCTTTACAGATGGGATCAACAACACAGATGACCTCCTTTGGAGTCATGTCTCTAATTATCTACACTGTTATTCTCCTTCCGTTGATAAAGTATTGTTTCATTGTCCTGCGAGCTAATGACAATGGAGACGGTAAGTAAATATGCTCCATACATCTTCTCAACGCAACTACTTTTTTTTTAATGAATCTCAAGGCAACTACTAGTATGGCTATATACAAGCGGCTCTAAGAATAGAAGAAAGTGTTGTTTTACAAGTAATGTCTTGTGAAGAGAGAATGTTAAGACATATAGAAATGAATGGTCACAAAGGGCCACAGGAGTGAGAACTGATAAATCAACTAGACCCTGAAGTCTCTCACCACATTGGTTTAGATGCAGTATTTTTTTTTTAAAAAAGAGAGGCTTTACAGGCATTGACCCAAGCTTTAGATGATACTGAGTGACTGCATCCAGTATCAATCAGTATGTAAGCAAAGCACCCAGAAATATTGACCAGAAATATCAGTTCTGTGGCCACGGTACTACGGTAGTGTCATCAGTCTGATCTAGTCTGTAGATTGGTCCCCCAGCCTCACTGTGATGTGCCTGAACTGTGACTCGCACGCCTCCTCTGCCTCCAAATCTTACGTCCAGCTGAGAGATGGGACCTCCATTATTTGTTTCACGAGAGAGGTTGACATGTATTAACAATATTGCAGGAGGAACATTTGCACTTTATTCATTGATATCACGGTATGCTAGGATTAGCTTGATACCTAATCAGCAGGCTGAAGATGCAATGGTCTCTCGCTACAAGTTAGTCCCCCACAAATCGTATCAAGAGGGCTCACTGGATCAAGAACAAGATGGAAAACAGTCCAAAATTTAAGATCACACTTTTCCTAGTGACAGTCCTGGGAACATCCATGGTGATTGGTGATGGTGTTCTAACCCCATGTATCTCAGGTGAGTTCAAACTCGTTTCTGGTTTTGCTCATCGTCTCTGGTAAGAAATGTTTCATACAAGGGATAGTTGAAATACATGTGGATTCTTCAAAGAAATAAACCAAGGTCCTACTTTTATGAACCGATTCCACTCACAAGATGTATGTTTGTTGGCCAATGGAATATATTTATAAGGATTATTGCCTTTTCTAAATAATAAGTATTTTTGCAGTGCTTAGCGCGGTTGGAGGGATCCAGCAAAAAGCAACAACCCTGACTCAAGGTACAACAATCTATGCATCAAAATGCATTCCAACGGAAGTTACAACAGTTCAAATAATTTTACTATTTACAGTGAACTTAATCTGACCTTTTTGGCCAGTCAACAGGACAGATTGCTGGCATTTCGATAGCCATTTTGATTGTCCTCTTTCTTGTTCAGTGCTTCGGCACAGACAAAGTTGGTTACACATTTGCTCCTATAATCTTGACATGGTTCATCTTGATTGCTGGTATTGGAGTTTACAATTTGATCAAACATGATACTAGCGTTCTGAAAGCATTCAATCCAAAATATATTGTGGATTATTTCAAAAGAAATGGAAAACAGGGTTGGATTTCTCTTGGAGGGGTTATTTTATGCATTACAGGTACTTTTTCTCCCAGAGTCCATGGCATCACTGTGCAATATAAACCTGAGTATCTGGTCTCTACAAGACCAGCTTAATATTTTGCAAGAAAAAATTGAGGCAATGTAACCTGAGTCTTTGATCTTTGATAAAAAAAAGTTTTTGTAATGTCCATTGCATTTTTTTTTATAAAACAGGAACCGAGGCAATGTTTGCTGACCTTGGTCACTTCAATATGAGAGCCATTCAGGTAACTGAGTACTTCTCCCAGTCCCCACAACTTTCATTTTCTGAATGCATGCACACACAAACTACTGACCCTATGGAGAAAATAGATTTCGACAAGCTGTGCTTGTGAAGAAACTCCTTTTGAATGTGGGAGAAAATAGTTTTAAAAGGGGACAAAGTAAGGGCGGGCTTGGTGCAAGCGGTAGAGTTTTTCCGCCTGTGACCGGAAGGTCCCGGGTTCGAGTCGCGGTCTCCTCGCATTGCACAGGCGAGGGTAAGGCTTGCCACTAACACCCTTCCCCAGACCCCGCACAGAGCGGGAACTCTCTGCACTGGGTACGCCTTTTTTTACAAAGTATTTTCATCCTCTAAAAGAAATAGTATATATGATGCTTGGACTTCAAAATTGTTTTCTGGTTTGCTTCAGTGAAACATTTATGATAAAGTTTTATTGCACTACAGATTGGCTTCTCAGTAGTACTGTTCCCTTCAGTACTGCTAGCATACATTGGACAAGCTGCATATCTCCGTATCTACCCAGAAAATGTTTCAAACACATTCTACAAATCAATTCCAGGTAAGAACTTATAAGAATGAACTAAGAAATGGCATGGATTAGGGATTGAAATATTAAATCTAACGACAACTCATGGCTTTTGCTGCCAGGTCCATTATATTGGCCAACCTTTGCGGTGGCAGTAGCCGCTGCTATAATTGCAAGCCAAGCTATGATATCTGGTGCATTTGCAATTATTGCACAGTCGCAAGTTCTAGGTTGCTTTCCATGGGTTCGTGTGACCCACACATCAACAAAGTTTGAAGGACAAGTCTACATCCCGGAGATCAACTATGCATTGATGATTTTATGTGTAGCTGTTACAGCTATTTTCCAAACAACAGAAAAGATTGGAAATGCATATGGTAAATTCTCAACTACAGACACAAATATCCCTATTCCCTACCACGCCCCACCCCAAGATATAAACTAAGAAAATAATAATAAGATACATGAATATTCAATTTTTAATGAGATTAAATTACTGCATTTCTAATTCTTTATTGACAATCTGTTTGATGCGGTAAACTCTTGGCTTTCCATAACCTGTATCAAAACTTGGAGTAATTTTTATATATCTGCCTAGATAGTAATCAAATTGTGAGCTCTATAGGTCATCCCTACTTAAGTCCCGAAAGCAGAACAAATGAAATCATCCTAGCAACAGCCAAATTTAGAGATCGTTAGCCACCTAGTAGCTTCTAAGTAAAATGTTGTAGTATCTGAATGAAGACAATTTATAAAATCTAAAAGTCCAATGCAAAACTCCAATGGCAGGGTGATCTATCAGCTCTTTGTCCTAGAGAAAGTAGGGACAAGATCTGCTAGATTATACTGATTTTTGAACGCAATGGCAGGAGCACTGCCTTTCAATTAAGATAGGAAAAACAAGTTTATATACAATCAAGTACACTCGAGATTAGGGTTTCAACCCCCACTAGCATACAAGGTAGGGAGACATAGAGCCCGAAAGTGTTGGGGGCAACAACTAAACATAAGTGAGTGCTCTCTTCCTTTGCTCTATGTCTTCCTTTATCCTTGCGGCCACTTGCGGTACCGTTTCTATCTTGTTGTCGAAGATTCACCTGTTTCTCTCTTTCCAAATATTCCAAAAGGTGTAGATTACTACCCCGTTAAGCCGCCTACACTCGGATCTTGGCACTTTCCTCGCCACCTCTTCCCACCATGAACTGATATTGGTGGGGACCACGTGGGGTTGCTGTAGAATTTGATTGAAGTTTTCCCACAAAAGGATTTGATCCCAAACCGCCTTTGCAAAAGGGCAACATAGGCATAGGTGTAGGCCGGTCTCTAAGGGTCTACACTGGTCTCTAAGGGTCCATTGCAGAGCACGTATTGTTGTTGGTGTGGCCACCCTCTCCTCTGTAGGTTTTTCGCCGTTAGAATTTTATCTTGCACTAAGATCCAGGCGAAGATCTTGCATCTGTTCTCCACATGCGCTTTCCAGATCAAATCCGTACGGAAGGGGACAAGGGAGCCTTTGAATTGTATTCTGTAGGCCGAGCGGGTGAAGTAGTTCCCGTCATTGGTCCATCGCCAGATGATGGTGTCCTGGACGCCCTGTTGTAGGTGCACATCTTGTATTCGTATCCAAAGGGACACAAACTCCTATATGTGGACAGCAGAGGTGATTTTCCTTCCTAGCTTGTGCATCCAATTGTTGTTCCGGAGCTCTTGTTGCACCGTTCGGTTTCTCCTTGCAACTAGGCGAAACAAGTTCGGGGCTAGGTACCTAGGAGCCTGTCCATCGAGCCAATTGTGGTGCCAAAACTTAGTCTTTGCACCGTCCCCCAAAGTTATAATGATTGAGGAGTTGAAGAGGAGACGATCATCATCAGAACATGGAAGCTCCAAGCCGCTCCAAGACTTGGAATCGTCCACCCATTCCTGCCAAAGCCATCACAACCGGAGGGCTCTCCCAAATCTATCAAGGTCGGGGACGCCTAAACCACCAAGGTCTTTTGGCTTGGTAACTGTGCGCCAGTTAACAAGGCAGTGCCCGCCATTGCCATTCTCCTCCCCCGTCCACAGGAACGATCTCCTGATTTTGTCGATCTTTTTCTTAGCCCATGCAGCCAGAGGAAACACCGTCAGGTGGTAGGTTGGCATGGAGGAGATGACAGAGGTCACTAGAGTGAGGCGTCCCGCTCTGTTAAGCCATCTTCCTTTCCACTTGGGTAACCTTTGCCCAATACGGTCTATGAGAGGTTGCACATGGATCTTTTGCAGCGATCTGATGTGGAGTTGCAGCCCCAAATACTTGCATGGGATGCTCCCTCTAGTACCGGTGAAAGGTGAGAGAACTTGGTCTAGGTGTACGTTTGTGCAACTGATCGGATGCACTGAGCTCTTTTGTAGGTTAATATGGAGACCCGAGAATGTGCCAAATGCCTCTAGGATGGATTTGACGGCCTCTACATCGTCTTTTGTCGGGTTGATGAAAATGGCCGCATCGTCCGCATACATGGAGGTTCTCCATTTTGCCGCCGTGATTGGTAAGGGGGTGAGTATCCCATGTTCGGTTGCCCGGTCAAGCAAACGTTGAAGCGGGTCCATAGCTAGGATGAATAGCATGGGTGACAGTGGATCTCCCTGCCGGACGCCTCTGGCATGGCTAAACGCGGCACCCTGCCGCCCATTAAGCAAGGGTGTGGAAGTGGATGTACGTAGAAGGATAGAGATCCATTCACGCCATCGCTGTCCAAAGCCCAGAGCCTGTAGAATCTCGAGCAGGTACCCCCAATGGACCGTATCAAAAGCTTTGTGGATATCTAGTTTCATGAACAAAGCCGGTATCTTCTGCTTGTGTAGCCTTTGTACCACACCCTGGACGTAAAGAAAATTATCATGGATGCTTCTCTTTTTTATAAATGCGCTCTGGCAGTTGGAGACGAGGGAGTTCAGTCGAGGGGCAAGTCTGTTAGCTAACACTTTGGAGATCTTTGCAATGCTATGGACGAGGCTGATGGGTCTAAAGTCAGTAATTCTTGTTGCATCCGTTCTTTTGGGTAGAAGGATGATGCAAGCCGAGTTTAGCCATTCAAAGCCCTGGGCATTCAAAGTGAATAGGCTGTTCATGGCCGCCATAAGATCATCCTTAATGATTTCCCAACAAGCTTTGAAGAAGGCACCCGTGAAGCCATCCGGTCTTGGCGCTTTGTCGGAAGGCATGGAATATATAGTGTTTTTTATCTCTTCCTGAGAGAAAGGCACCTCCAGATCGGAGAGATCATGTTGGTTGTAGCCAAGGGATTGCCAATTGACTGTGGAAGCTCTCGGAGTCAATGTGATTTTCGAAATAATCTTGAATCACCTTTTCTTTCTCTTGATGAGCCACCGCGATCCCCCCATCCGTATGTAGACAATGTATGTAATTCTTTCTCCGGCGTGCATTGGCTCTACTGTGGAAGAATTTAGTGTTAGCATCTCCACACCGTATGTATGTTAGTCTCGATCTCTGTCTGATTCTCGATTTTTCGATGGCTGCGAGCCCAGTACTTCTAATTGTACTCTTGGGCTGCTTCTAATTGTAACAATACTTCTTTCACTATGGCGAGCTACATCCTTGTATCCCCTATCTTGTCTTTCTTCCAACGCTTGATACCTTTTGCCACACGTGCCAATTTGATATGCAAGCGTTTCAAAGGAAGAGCGGAGGCGACCGGCCTATTCCAAGTGTTTTGGACAAGGTCTTGAAAGACTTCCATCTTAGTCCAGTAATTTTCGAAGCGGAAGGACGTGCTGTGATGGTGATCAAGTTCTCCCTGGAGTAGCAGCGGGGTATGGTCCGACATGAGCGATGGAAGGGAGTGTAAGAAACATGAGGGGGAGAACAGCTCCCACTCGGGGGTACATAGTAGTCTGTCAATTCTAGTGAGCGTCAGGTTGTCCTGTTGATTGCTCCAAGTGAAGCGGCGTCCGTTTAGCTTGATTTCTTTGAGCCTCAAATGATCGATCGTCACTCTAAATGCCCCCATTAGTCGCCGGTTTAGATTGGAGTTGTTCTTATCTTCTGCCTGGTAGATGAAATTGAAATTTCCCAGGATGAGCCATCTATCATTCTCCGGCGGTGGAATGTTCTTCAGTTCTTGGAGGAATTGAAGTTTGGCTGCCTCTCCTTGTGGGCCGTATACCACTGTAATTTGCCACCTTGTTCCATCGGCCCTCACGTTGATCTGCGCGGTTATAGCGTTCGAGGTAAGTACAATGTCGGAGAGGTCGAAGAAGTCTTCGTTTACCGCAAGACGCCCCCACGGGTCTGTTCCGCCGGCAGCACAATATAGGAGTTTACAAATTTCGCTCCGACTGTTCGTCGCACCACATTATGATCCATAACTTGCATTGTAGACAAACGATGGTGGCGCCAGTAGTTCTCACTAACTCACTGACCGAGTCTTGCCGGGCGCCGTCATTCAAACCCCTGACGTTCTAATTAAGTAATTGACAATTCAGCTGTGCCATATGGAAACCAATGGGCCCCTATTTAAGATTATTCCTTGGAGGGAGACAAGCAGGAAGCCATCTGGGGCTGTGGCACTGGCGATGAGCACAAAGAAAAACACACAGCGGCACATGGTCATGAAAGCATCAAATTGGATTGGCCGATGCATCTGAAAGCCAGTGGCAGTCGGCTTAGTGATACAAAGCAAGTGTTTCTTGCTGTCCGAGTTTTTGCTACAGCTAACTACCAGATGCAGGGTCGTTGCAGTGTGGTGGGGAGGCCACTGTAGGCCTATGGCTGTCGCCCCACGCAAGCACCATGACTGGACGGTCACAAAAGAAGCGGAGCTCCTGGAGCTCCTGGAGCAGTGATCTATTACTAACATTAGTACATTGGTCTACCCATGCACGTCAACAGCTGTCTAGGCGCCTTCACGGTGTCGTCGGTGAGTGGTCCCCTGAACAGGGTGAAGTAGCGCAGCAACGCGTCGTCATGGCTGAGTCCTTCCACGTCGAGGATGCCAAGCCTTTTCATGAGCACTTGCACGCCTTTCGCGCTTTGAGTGTAAGCCCCTGGCCGATTCATGGCGACTATCACGGGCGCTCTTGCGTGCCAGGACAAGGGGCCTCTTCGTCATTGTATGGTCATGGTGGCGCGACCGGGACTCGCAAGATGGGTGGAGGCGAGGTGTGACTGTGAGATCCCCAGAGGAATTTCGACCTTTGCCATTTGTGGTGACCGGCGTGCTTTGGCCAGCGTCATTTACCTCCAGAGTGTCGCTGGTGTGCACCGGCTGTTGGTGCTGGAGGCCACTTGCCATGCATGGACGGCGAGAGCAGGTGGTTGCCGCAGCTTGGGCACAACGTCTGGAGTAGACGAGGCCAGGGCGAAAACGCACCACCTGGGCGCCTCCGGCCTGCTGTGCGTGGCTCCGGTGCCTGTGGGGAACACAAGGCCGCCTGGAGTAGACC